CCTTGGTGAGAGAGGTAGAGAAGAACCCAAAGATGACTGTGGCTGAGCTCCAGAGATGCAGTCGGGAGATGGGAGAAAGTTGTAGAAAGTCAACTATCACTGCAGCCCTCCACCAGTCGGGGCTTTATGGCAGAGTGGCCCGACGGAAGCCTCTCCTCAGTGCAAGACACATGAAAGCCCGCATGGAGTTTGCTAAAAAACACCTGAAGGACTCCAAGATGGTGAGAAATAAGATTCTCTGGTCTGATGAGACCAAGATAGAACTTTTTGGCCTTAATTCTAAGCGGTATGTGTGGAGAAAACCAGGCACTGCTCATCACCTGTCCAATACAGTCCCAACAGTGAAGCATGGTGGTGGCAGCATCATGCTATGGGGGTGTTTTTCAGCTGCAGGGACAGGACGACTGGTTGCAATCGAGGGAAGGATGAATGCGGCCAAGTACAGGGATATCCTGGACGAAAACCTTCTCCAGAGTGCTCAGGACCTCAGACTGGGCTGAAGGTTCACCTTCCAACAAGACAATGACCCTAAGCACACAGCTAAAATAACGAAGGAGTGGCTTCACAACAACTCTGTGACTGTTCTTGAATGGCCCAGCCAGAGCCCTGACTTAAACCCCATTGAGCATCTCTGGAGAGACCTGAAAATGTCAACCAATGTTTACCATCCAACCTGACAGAACTGGAGAGGATCTGCAAGGAGGAATGGCAGAGGATCCCCAAATGCAGGTGTGAAAAACTTGTTGCATCATTCCTAAAAAGACTCATGGCTGTATTAGCTCCAAAGGGTGCTTCTACTAAATACTGAGCAAAGGGTCTGAATACTTATGACCATGTGATATTTCAGTTTTTCTTTTTTAATAAATCTGCAAAAATGTCAAAAATTCTGTGTTTTTCTGTCAATATGGGGTGCTGTGTGTACATTAATGAGGAAAAAAATGAACTTAAATGATTTTAGCATATGGCTGCAATATAACAAAGAGTGAAAAATTTAAGGGGGTCTGAATACTTTCCGTACCCACTGTATTTAACTTACTCTATGATTATTTATTCTTAAACTTTTTTTTGCATTATTATACTAATAACATCCTGTTTTGATAGAGTCTGTGTTGTTTTAAAGACTAAACACCCCCATCTTCTGAAATAGAATTTAAACATTTATTGTACTCTCTACTTCAGTTACTGACTCTTGTCTTATTCACCACAAATCCAGATTATTTCTAAATGTTATTTGCTGAAATATTCTCGTGTTTAACACCTATATAATCCAGGATCTAGTTCTCCTCCCTTACATAAAATCATCCAGGTGCTACTTTCCCCTTGTTTTAAAGCCTGTCCTCCACTACACTTCCTCCTGCTCTTCATCTCTTTGTCTTCCATTGCCTTCTCCTTTGTTGTTTCTGTCTGCTTTGTGTACTCAGGATTATGATGAAAGGACAAGGTTACACTGAATAAGGCTACTCTGATTGTACAGTTACAGAGGCAATAAATTGTTGATGCAGAAGGAGAGAGAGGAGGTTGGGCCAGAAGAAAATAGTAATATTCTGTAGCCTGAATTATTGAGTACATGCTAAGCCTTACATTTCTACTGGCCTGCACAAGAGTCTGTGTCTGGATTATTATTTTATTACTACCCCAATCAATGTGCTTCCACTTTCAGCAGCTCTTTGAGATAATTTACATAACACAGGTTTCCCTAGAAATTTCACCCAAATCCATGACTTTGGAATGATATCCTATTATAATCCAAAATATCCAGCCAGTGGCCAAACTCAGAGCATACACACTGATACTTGCATATAAATTCTTTTCTCTCATACACTCTCCATCTCTTCTTGTATCTTTATCCTCTTCTCCTCCTTCACTTGATAAAGGAAGTGGTAATCTTTCAGGTCGTCCTCAGACTAAACATGAAGCTGCAGCAGTAAAGCAACTGACCTAGCTGAAGAAAAGTCCAAGAACAGTTACACACCCACATCCTTTCCTGTGAGAGTATATATCCATCAGAGAGGACAAAGCAGCAGTAGGATTAGGTATTTTTGGACACATGCCGTGTATGGAATAAAACTCTTTATTAAATAGCACCATCCAGCTCACACATGGGGCTGAATTTCCACAATATCATCTTCTATTTCCAGAACTTGACATAACCTGATCTCATTTTATGGTTACTGTTGTGTCATGTCACTTGGTTCCTAAGATTTAAACTCCTCTCCCAAAAAGTGCCAGTCATGAGTCAGTCTGTGGTTGTCAGTGACCAAAACTCAATTGTTTTTTTTTTTTTTGTAATTACATAGTATGACTATCTGTGGGTGTGGATCTATTTTGGCTTGCGGCTGGTCACCATGCACTGTGTGACTTTAGGCCTCCTCTGCTACTGTGCTGTATGGCTGTTTGCTGTGCAGTGCATTCATCACATACTCCATGTATTACAGGCAGGCTGGAAGGAGAACCATGCCACCTTCATGTGCGAGCTGAAGAACCTGCAGGCATCTGGGTTGACTACATTAGGTCATGCTCTTCGCACAGCCTTTGACCTGCTTAACCTCAACCGCCTTGTCTCTGGCATCGACAACTATGGACAGGTAAGTCATACCAAACTTCCTGTTATGTATTATTTTGGCACCAGACTCATCCATTGTTTTAAAAGAAAAGTTGAGTTATCTTATATAATAGTTTGCATGACAGTCTTTTTAATCAGAGCTAAAATGGTGAGTTGATTAACCAGTTAGTGGATTGCCAAAAGAATTATCTGCAGCAGATTACATGGTCATTTCTTTAAATAAATAATATACATCAAACATTGCCTAATTTTAGCTTCACAATCATGTGGATGTTCTTTTTCTTTTTGCATCATGTGATAATTAACCAAGCCATTTGATGGAATCACCTTGTATTTTGCAATAGCCATTTTTCAGAATTTTTTGACATTTTCTTAATCAAATGTTTGCTAGACTAATTGAAAAAAAACCTGGCACCTTAATCAGTAATAAAAATTATTGTTAGTTGCATAACTAACAAGTTATAATAAAAAAGATTATTAATAATTTTATTACTCAGTAGTTACAGAATTATTTTTTATCTGTCTCTTTATTATTGGTTGTGGTTGAAAACATGAAATCTCACTCACTGACAGGACCATAACATGTATTTGCTGTCGTTCAGTGTCCTTCGATGATTACTTTAGGTCACAGTGATCATTGACATTTTCTAATTTATTATAAACTGGTGTTTTCTTTCACTTAGACATACTGTAGGTTTAGAGCAAACTGCAAACCCTGTCTGATCTTCCTGTTAGAGAAAAAAATATTTGTCTCAGGAATGGACGGGTCAAGGTCATGTTGATAAATTCAGCTTAATGTTAAAGTCATTAAAATAATGCAGCAGTGGAAGTACAGGTCATAAAAGAAGGCTTAGAAATGAAAAGTTAGTCATTTTAAAACTTGAAAAGATTAAAGTCATACAGGTGGAAGAAGCTAAGTGCCCATCAGCCTGGCACTTAACAGTTACTACCACAGTAAAAGACTAAAGTTACCCTGAATGATGTCCCAGTGAGTAACAGAATGTGAACCAGGGCTTTTCTGATAAAGCCAAAACATTTTTTCTTTGAACAAATTAAGGTTTTGATTATGAGTGTAATAAAGCTTTCAGATGGCATTTCTGTTTTTCCCTTTACCTGGAGACAAATAGAACAGTATTGACTTTTTATTGGAACTTAATCCATTCCGTCTTTCCTCAGGTATCACTGCCATCATCTGCTCACACTCTCTTTTCCCTATACCTCTGCTGAAACAGTATGCCTGTGTTTTGCCATTACTATAATCCCAAGAGACCATTAAGATTTTGTTTTTAAAGAAATGTGAATGTTTTTGAGACACACATCCCAGAACAGCGTGTTTGGTCTGGGATGTAAAGAAAGGGAAGCAGACTAGTGAGAATGGCAGTCATCGTTTGTCTGAACTTGGACTGAATTGCTGAACATTATTATTTCCTTCTCAGGGCCGGAACCCCTTCTTCCTCGAGCCATCTGTGATCATCACTATCACTGATGGGAACAAGCTTACACACAGTTCTGGGGTGCCAGATGAGGTGAGAATATAAAAAAATGCATTGTACCACTGAAACTGTGGAACTGAAATTGGTGACATAAGGAGGTTTTTTACATATTTTCCTTTCTTTTCCTTCCTTTACCTCTCTCTGTCATCTAGCTGCACCTGCCTCTGAACTCTCCTTTGGCAGGCAGTGAACTGACCAAAGAACCCTTTCGCTGGGACCAGCGTCTGTTTGCACTGGTGCTCAGGCTGCCCGGGGCCGCCACGCCAGACAACGAGCAGCTCGGTAGCGTCCCCACAGATGAGTCTGCTATCACCCAGATGTGTGAAGTCACTGGAGGTTCAGCATTTTTTTTAATTCACTGTGTGTCTGCACTCTTTTTGGTAGCACTCAGTTTTTCATTCCTTTATACTAGCTCATCGTGCAAGCTGCTTTTTTTCTTCCAGGGCGATCATACTGTGTGCGAACACAGAGGATGCTGAACCAGTGTCTGGAATCTCTAGTGCAGAAGGTTCAAAGCGGAGTTGTCATTAATTTTGAGAAGACGGGGCCAGACCCACCTGTCGTTGGGGAAGGTGAGTTTTTGGGTGGTGCACACTGAAAGGAAACAAGGCAAAAACCACTGTATGTTCCAGTCCTGTCTTTTCCTGTTGGAACAATTTGGTATAGACATGTTTTTGTCTATTCAAGAGTCCAGTCAAGTGCATAGAACATAAATCTAATGTGTCAGACACTTTTAAAACTGTATATTTGATTGAGTTTCTGAGCACATTAACTCTCACATTTCATCCATTTCATTTTGGAGCAGAAATCTGTGGGCAGTAAAACAGGGGAAAGCAGAAGAGAATCTCCTTATCCTGGATCATCACTAAGCAGTTTTACGTTGAAAGGAGACAGTTCATTTTTACCCACACAGAGACACACAGCAACACAAATTAAATCAATCATAAATATTATTAGAACATAAGCTAGTAAGGTTTTTACATCTCTCAGAAGAATGTGTGCCTCTAACTTCAAGCTGTGTTGCAGCTCATTCCAGTAGTGAGGAGCATAGCAACAGAAAACAGTCTTCCCATAGTTCAGAGTTGGTGTAAAGAATGTTTAAAGCCAGTCTCTCCTGTGATCTGGTGTCATGAGCTCTAAACTCAACTAAGGAAGTGTTTTGGATAGTCGAGCCTTATAGAAGAAGACACAATCTGCTGCCTATTCAAATTCTTAAGTACTTAATAATGCTTTATCAATTACTGAAGATCCCCATTTAGAACGTGGATTGGATTGGGAACATCAGTGGTTTGTGCACTTGTGAAATGTATAATGCTGTCCAGCAGAAACCCATTTATCAGTCACTGAGGTTTTGTTTAACAGTGTTTCATCCCACATCTCCAATTTTTTATTTTGAATTTGTTGGCATTTGACTTAGAAATAGTTTTTCTTTTTTATCGTACGCTTTTTTGGTTTTACAGACAACTCTTCGGAGTCAACTCATCCTGCGTCATCCTTCAGCCCACAGCTGTGGCACAGTTGCCACAAACTCATCTATGTGCGGCCAAACCCAAAGACCGGAGTGCCGGTTGGACACTGGCCTATACCTGAGTCCTTCTGGCCGGACCAGAATTCTCCTACACTGGTGAGCCAAGACAGGCCTAAAACTATCTCAGCAGCACCTTTAGTCTCTCATTGTGCGGGTGACCTCTCAGAGTGCTGGATTAATACATGCATTTGACTTTGACAGAGCACTGTTAATCTCCTGCTATTCTCCAAAGATGTACATCTGTGTGTATCTGCACATTTACATACAGACTTGCAGTTCTACTTTGTCTTTCTTATCTTTCTCTCGTCTGGCAGTCCTCTTTTTCTGTGTCTAACATCAGTAACTTTGACTTGCAGCCAACAAAGTTTCCAACTCTGCATACTCACACTGTCATTTTGATTAACTGTGAACCTTTAATGTTTGTTTGATATTGTTGTTACAAAGGTATCACATGGGTCCCTACTACAGATAATTATGTCTGTCATTCTCAGCCGCCTCGGTCTGCTCACCCCGTGGTGCGTTTCTCTTGTGTGGACTGTGAGCCCATGGTGATCGATAAGCTTCCCTTTGACAAGTATGAACTGGAGCCCTCTCCACTCACACGGTACATCCTGGAAAGGAAGTCACCACACATGTGCTGGCAGGTAGGGGCAATATTCACACACCCATCAGCTCTGCTGGTTTGTTTCTACTGTCAATGGTGTTGCCTTTGGAACTTTTCTGATATTATGATGTTGCTAGCTTTATTCAAAATATCTTTTTGCCTCTTGGTAGTTGTGAGTTAATAATGAATCGCTTAGTAAGCACAGATCCACAGATGTCTTCTGAAGCTTAGTTTTTATTAACCAAAACCTTCTTTGACTTACAATTTACTTTGCTGTGTTGAGGTGTTTGTCAGCAGCAGTGGGAAGCAAAATGACCTGGGACAGCCATTTGGCTACCTTAAAGCCAGCACCACTCTCACCTGTGTCAACCTGTTTGTCATGCCTTACAACTACCCAGTCCTTCTCCCGCTTTTAGGTAAGACATATGGCAGTGGGTCAGTAGGCCTGAGCTAATAGGAGATTATAAAGCATTCCTTTTCTGGGTCCCTTCATTGTTCCATTTTTTTCCTTCATCTTCTTTTGTGGCTCTAAACATAATCACAAATATAAGGGTTGATAGCAGAGCAACAGTTAGTCTAATATTTCTTTGAGAAATTTTTGACTAATGAGGTATTTAGAAGTGTAAAGTGTGTCGTCATGGATGTTTTGATGCTTGTTTTAGACTCATCACCTGAATATCGATGTGGGTGCAGTGGTCAGCCCTGCAGCAGCAGGAGGAGCTGCAGGTGGATGGCTGGCTGGTCACTGATGCAGAATGCTAAAGGGCTTTTCTCAGACATATCTCTCTGCTTTTTCTCCTTTCAGATGATTTGTTTAAAGTGCACAAATTCAAACCAAACCTCAAGTGGCGACAGGCCTTCGAGATGTACCTGAAGACAATGCCTCCATACTACCTCCTGGTAAAGTGATGCTATGTCACTTGCTGCCCTTAGTAAGTGTTCAGTACATAGATTTGAATAGTTTTTGCATATAACTAATATCTACAATTTTCCCTGATATCTTCTGACAGCCCTTAAAAAAGGCGTTGAGGATGATGGGTGCACCTAATCTTATCGCAGACACCTTGGACTGTGGCCTGAGTTACAGTGTCATCTCATATCTAAAGAAGCTCAGCCAGCAGGTAGGTAGGGAGGGAGTCCTTTCCAATAAGTGTGACGGGTATGATAGTTGTAGTGGAAAAACCCCAAGCTGTGACACACAGCCAATGTGTTTATCAGTTTTCAAAGTATTGTAGAGAGTGAGATAATCTTCACTCAGGAATGCTAGTGACCAGCCGAGTCAGTTACATATCCATTGGGTTGCTGAGGAAGGTTGTCAGATAACATAGCCTAGCTCAGTGAGCTGGTAGCCACCCTCTCATTTACCACTGTCAGCCTATCAGTGGCCAAATCAGTTGCCGACCTCGACAAAGACAGACTCCTACAATTTCCCAGTAGTCTGTGTTTTGGTACTTTCTCTGCACCATACAAAATTTGGACTGGAATAATAACATATCTGTGTCTTTGCTCTAAATAAAAACTGTGATGGGTGTTCAAAAAATTAAAAAAGTCCAATTACACTATTACTTAAAATTAGAAAAAAGACTCCAAAAAACATGCCAAGAGATGAATTGAAAAAAATGTTTTCCATAATGCTTTAATGCAGTGGTTTTCTTTCTTCTTGTTTTCATGGAATTAAGGCAAAGATCGAATCAGACCGTTTAATTGTGTCCGTGGGGAAGAAGGCTCCCCAAGAAACTGGCATAAAGGTGAAGAACCACTGCAGTGCTCCCTCTCTGGCCCACCGGCGAGACTTTAAGCAATTGCTACAGGGAATCACCGGGGAGGGCCCTCTTCGCCCCGTGGACATCAACTTCAAAGAGTTTGCCGGCTTCCAGATCGCCCTGCTCAACAAGGTAGATTTAGGACATTTATGGAAAGTCTGACATGCTTGTTGTAGCTGCGAAGCATACAGTTAAACAAGGCAAGTGCAATGTTTGAAGGGCTTCCCCAGCTAGATATACGGATGTGTTCACAGGATGTAAAACCTCAAGCTTATCGAAATGCCTATGACATCCCAAGACGGAACCTTTTGGATCAGCTCACCCGAATGCGCTCCAATTTGCTGCGCAGGTCACAGAAACTCATCCGAGGGCAAGATGAAGGTATAGTATTCTGACACTAAGAAGAAGTAAAAGAAAACATAACAATGCTGCAATTCTAGTTTAATATCAGCCAATTTTTATTTTTCCTGGCCAGTGTTGATTTTTATTTTGCACTACTACAGTTGAACTAAAAGAGGAAGTTTGGCAACTAACTGCATCTTTGATTAGTCATAGCTCCAGATGTTGCAATGCAGTCATAACACAGTTTAAAGCATAGATGCAGCAACATTTATTTTGACAGATTTCTTCAATAATGCACTGCAGCACACATGGCTGGAGGCATTAGGTTTCTTGAATCATACATACCCCAAATTTTATTAATGCTCATAAAATGCGTTATGGTTGTTAGACTATCTGCACAGTATCCCAGTGGCTCAGATGGGAAACTATCAGGAGTACCTAAAAATGATGCCGTCTCCTCTCAGAGAGATTGACCCTGATCAGCCTAAACGCCTGCACACATTTGGGAATCCTTTCAAGCAGGATAAGAAGGTAAAAACATGACTAAAATCCTGTTTTATAAAAATTTGCCATAAAAAGCATGGTTTAAAATGTCTTATTTAATATGTATACCTTTGTCTTTTTATGTTATGTTCTCTCAAATGTTTACCTCAGGGGATGATGATTGATGAGGCAGATGAGTTTGTAGCAGGCCCTCAAAACAAGAAAAGAGGAAATTCCAGTGATTCCAACTCGGGTACTATTATGAAAAGAAGGCGGAGCATGTCCCCGTTGCTGCGGCGGCCACAGACTCCACCAGGGAGCACCAACCACGTAGTAGTGGGGAAGAGTCCAACAGGGGGTCAAGG